GGCAGGCTGCCGCAACCCACACTGCCAGCCGACATCTTCCCCACAGCCATGATAGCGACCTCCCAGCCGGTGCGGGCTGCCGAAAATAGCGTGCCGCAGAGCGGGCTCCTCACACGCTGGAGGTGCTCGCCGCCCCTACAGCTGGGATCTCACTGGTGGTGGCACCGGCATCGATTTCCCTGCCGCTCTCTGCAGCATCCCTCGCACTCAGTGTCTGAAAGAAGGAGTGGGGACCAGGGCCAAAACCGTGGCGCTGGTGCCAAAGTGGCTGCTGGGAGCTGGAGGTGCACCGTGCCGGAGCTGTGCCGGCATCAGGTTCCGGCCGGGCTCCCACCGGTGGCTTTTTCTTTCCCTGCGAAGCTCAAAGTTACGGTAGCAGGAGCCAAAAGCAAAGTGCACTTTCCCATTCAGATGCGACCTCAAGAAAAAAAGAAGAAAACCCAGAAGATATGGAGCATCAGCTGGCAAGGGGTGACCAAAACCCCGGGGGCTCCTGCGATACCCAGCGCCGCCAGAGACGCCCCGCGCTCCTCCTGCTCCGCAGCAAGGGCTTGGGAATGCAGGGAGACATGGAAAGGGGACCCCTCTCCTGCAGCAAAGCCAAACTGAACCCAGGCCACCAGCCGCCTCTTCCTGCCACACCTCAAAGCCAGAGTCTGGAGCCGACACCGCTGGCACCAGCCCTCCGCGGCTGGCGGTTTTAATTAGGGCAGCGCCAGTGGCTCCTGCTGGGCATGGGCGCAGCACCCAGCCCCGGGGGGGTCCCCTTGTGCTGCTCTATGGCTTCACCGCACTGCAATGAAATGGCTGCAGCGAGCGGGGCTGGGGGGTTTGGGCTGGGCTGCTTTGAGGAATGGGGCAGGAATCCACCATCTGCCTCATTTCCACACCTCCCTGATTTTCGGCTGAGCAACGTTACGGGGTGGCAGAGGGAGCACGGAGGCAGCGGGTTTGTCCACGGGCCGCTCCGTAGCGAAATCCTGACGCTGCTGAGGGACGAGACACAGCGGGGGCTGCAGGAGCAGCCCAAGCAGTGCTGTGCCCAAGCGGGAGAGGCTGTTTTGCAGGGAAGAAGCAGGGATGGAGATGGGACACAGGCTCTGCGGGATAACAGGGGACCGTTAGCGTGCGCCAGGGGCACAACTGGGTGACAGTCGGGCGTGCAGGGTAGCTGCTCAGAAAGGCCTCTGTCCAGCCTGGCTTGCCAAGCTGGGAACTTGTCGGCAACCAACAGCTTGCCTAAAACCAAAAAGACCTCAAACCCCAAACGAAACCGCACCCCAAGCCACCAAATCCCGAGTTCCTCCACGCAGCAAATCCTCCCTGCTGCCCGCAGCGGGCTGCACTGCTGGCTGTGCCCATCCCCGCTCGCCGCCCGTCCTGCTGGCCCCGACTCACCCACGCGACGGGGATGCTGCTCATCAACGGCAAAGCTCTGGGTGGCTGCGCTGCCCCGGGGCAGCTATAAGAGAGGCGCGGCTGCCGGGTTTTTTTGCATTAGGGGAGTGTCGGCGCTTGGCATCCACAGCAATTGGCGGCTGCGACGGGCCCCCCCCAGAGCCCAGCTTTCTTGCCGCGCTCCATTAGCCCTATTAGGGGATTTTCTTCCTTGTGAAGGGGAGCTAAATTATTCATGGCCGCTTTGCTAAAAGCCTGGGGATGCGCCGCTGCTTTATCAACGCTGGCATTGCTGCCTCTGCCCGCAGCCGACCCTCACCCTGCGGTGACAGGTCCCACGCCATCGGCACGCGGGACGGTGGGGACAGCCGGGGCCACTGGGTGCCATCAGGGAGCGGAGCCAGTCCCCTGCGGTGGATGCAGCCCTCCTGCGGTCCCCATGGCAGCAGGGTCGGAGCTGGGCTGTGCCAGGACCGAAACATCGACTCCTCTGGGCAGGAGCCCCGAAACGGAGCTGGGTGACAGACACCAGTGGCAGCTGCCTGCAGGCAGCTTATGGGCAAGCTGGCTCCTGCCTGTCGGCCTCGGGAGCCTTTCACACCAGATGTGTCCAGCGGTTCGGGTGCGCGGCTGTGCCTGGCTGCTTTGGCAGCCAAAACCCACCCATGGCTCGGGCTCAGCAGTGCCGCCGGCGGCGCATCGCCAGGACAGGCACGGTCACAGTGCCGCCAAGCCACCCCGATGGCCAGCCTCTCCTCCTCCTGCCGTGCGTGGGGACAGAGCTGGGAGGCCACGGCTCCCTCGGGGGGCAGCCCCCTATCCCCCGCCCCATCGTGGCCAGGCCGGACCGGGTCCAGAGCCGCTGGGTTGCTGCGGCCCTGGGAGCACCAAAGCGGCTGCTGGCACGGTGTGCGGGGAAAAGTGCCGCCTTCACTTCAGACGGTAAAAGGCAGGCGGGGGGAAGTGTTGCCTTCTGTACCACTTAATGATGCTTCTCTTAATGGAAGGAGCAGCGGAGCGGCTGGCCGGGCTCCTGGAGCTGCCCTTGGGAAAAGCCAGCGGGCTCTTCCCGGCGCAGGATGCTCCCCCCGAGCCAAGCCAAGTCCTGCACCCCCGCGGTGGCTGCCCCTCAGGAGCCCTCCGGCCACGCTCCGGCCACGCTCCGCTGCTTGGGGAGCCTGGCAAGGACGGCCCCCACCTACCCAGCTGCACACATGGGGTCCCCACGTCGCACTGCCAAACCCACGAGAAGGCGAAGACGCGGTGCCGCGCCGGCGATGCCCACCCTGCACGGAGGTACCCTAGCATGGCGGGCAGGGCAGTGCTGCGCCGGCAGTGCCCGCACCGGCAGCGCCCGCACCGGCACCGGCCCGGGCATGGGCAAGGGCTGCTAGGGCTTCAGCTGTGTCTGCTTGCCAGGGGGGATTTTGGGGAGGGGGAAGGGCTGGGTTACCTGTAGAACTGGAGCTGGCGCTTGGGGCTCCCGTACCTCGCGCTTCCGACAGCAAAGGGGAGAAAGAAGAAAGATGCCACAAACCCCATTAGAAAGGTGGAGCGGGACCGAGCAGCAGAGCTGGCGGCCGCGGGGAGGGTCAGTGGCACCACGCGTGCATTGTGTGGGGCACCGTGCAGTGGGCACTGGCACACGCCCCGAAAGTACCCGCTCTTC